TTCGCAACGATCGGGCCACACATACACAATGTCGTGCGCACTCTCCCGCGTATAGTGCATTGGGAAGGACGCATGCGCCTGGAGTGCGCACCAGACATTTAGGACCAAAGCTATGGATCGAGCTTGATGTTCTCTGCTTAGCATTCAAAACGAAGTCCTCATCATCTCTCTTCCTTACTAGCCGTGAAGTTTTGAGGTATACGGCTGAATATTAAAGCCAAACTATAAAACTGTTTTCGTGGATGTAAGAATTGGTGCAAGATCTGAACGTTTTATTTAGCTATCTTTTAAATGACCATTGAATAAGAATTGCTTACTTTTAACTTGGAGCGCTATTACTTCAATTTATCTGAAGCGCACGTTGTTTTTCGAACCTAATTGATGTCATCAATTTAATTCAATACATTTTCATTGAAATTCATCACATAAACCTGCGTCATGTCACACAAAAAGACCTGTATGTGGTCTTAATATTAAGGAGCTTTTATAGTGAAGCGTAATATTAAGGAGCTGTCATTTAGTGTTAGAATTAAAGACGTTGATAGTACGTATTTATCAGCCACATATTAAACGTCCTGTGTGGTTTAAAAAATCCTTCAACCTGAATTTTTATTCTCATTGCTAATTGTTCAAATACTAAATACAATACCAAGTTTATGTCCAGAGTATAGTGAGTGTAAGGCATTAGTCATTAGTATAGTGCGCCGAGTGCAAGTAATGAGTCCAATTCGTGTTCACTATTCTTATATACTTACTCATTTAAGTCTGTAGTTTTTAAGGCGATTGGGAGAAAAACATGAACGAGAATAAAACAATATTTTAATGACCGGGTAATATCGCGAAACTAAGATATGAACTTTTTCAGTGGCCACTGTTCAGAGCAATGATGAATTGTTTGAGCTTATATTAAAAATTTAAGCTTCAAGCATCTCGATATAGTAGTCAGAACCTTGTGCACATTTATGTTCTGATGTAATGCTGTTATGGATTTATTCTGCTCTCATTATGCAGGAAAAAGGTGACGGAATGAGAATTTTGTCCTTTAAAATATGATTACTATTTTTAATTTGATGAATACATTGAAGGGATATGAATTTACAGGGATAAATTTAAAGTTTCACGTTCATTAGGCAAAGCGAAGAAGCTTATCTGCATTTTTATTGTTGCCAGTAATTGATTCCCCAACTGATGAGAAACAAGTTTCTCGGAGACTCTGAGTGGCACTCTAGGAACCGGTTATACGGCAGTACTATACCTGCTTCACGATCTTTCGTTGCATACAAATATGCATTTAAATCTAGTGTGGCCCATGTCAATTTTGTGGAAAAATTTTATGGCAGATAATTAAAAATCAAATAGTATTCAGTTCATTTTTTGGGAGTAAATTTCAAATCCTTGCTTATATAGTCGACACACCTATACCTTGATTTTTTATCAACTCTATTTTTCTCTTAGTTGAATTTCCAGCTAATTTTTGGACAAAAATTGACGCTTTATTTAGCAGTAACCAACCATACAGTGCATCAGAAAAATAAAACGCTCTGAATTTCACGTATGCAGACCAATTAAAATATTTTAGCAATTATAGGTAGTGCCAAAAAGGTAAAAAAACCGTAATATGAAAAACGAAGTTCGTTATTCCCCCTCGCATCGTCAAGTGCTCATCATATGGGATCAACTACAGGTCTGTGTACTTGGCGATGGGCGTTAAGTTAAGATCAGGAAATGGTTCCTCTAATTCACTTCAGAAACAATGAAGGACAAACCAGCAGCAATACTGCCTGGGCAGTTCCGCCATTGACCAGGTGTGCTTACGATGGGTCCTTTGGGGGGCCCCAAGCTTCCATCACCCGTCGATGTACTCGCCTAACTCTAGCCCTCTGCCGCTCTACTCTGTTGTTTTTTGTGTAGACCAAGGACTGCATTCCTTAACCTTCATAAAAATCACACTTGGAGAAATATTGACGAGCTAGAGTTAGATTCAATTAAAGACTTTCCTAGATATCACACCTGAAGAAATATTAAAAGGAGCTGTCATTTAGTGGTAGAATTATATAAAGACGTTGAAAGTATGTAAATCTTCGTTTGAGTAGATCATTTTTACCTAAGTGCATCGTAAAGCATGAAATGTTAGCTTGATAGGCATTTGAAATTAATTTTGCTTCATAATACCAAAGCCAATGCATTCATCAGTCCTTAAAAATAAGCATTTCAAATAATTTTGTGATCTCTCGCCGTTATCCAGCATACAGAAAAGTTTACTTATAGTGTTAAGAATTTGTAATATTATGGCATCCCTTGCAGAGGTGTTTTCACGGACACTTGTTATAGAGAATATCTATTTTCGTTACAATATTGTCGAATTTATTCGTTAATGTGACTCCAATGACGAAAATTCCAGCTCGCTACTCAAAATTTAGAATTCTAAATTTCAGTTTGACGCACAACGGGTAATTTCTATTCACGGCGAAACTGCTTTACAGTAATCTCTCAGAATGAACCTTCGATGTCCAATGAATCCCAAGTAACCTGCATTGTCTGTAGGAAGTGAATGAGTCGCGACGAGTCTGGGAGGAATGTTGAAGCTGAGGAGGTTGTTCGTATTCACCACACAAGGTCAATGTCGTAAGGGTATCCACATTATGCTAATGCACGCATGCAGTCTGCCGCTCAGCTGTCTGTGAGCGGGAAAGTTTCATGTAACCAAAAATTAGTTGCATTTCTATCCGATTGCCATGTGTATCCAAGGCTGAAATATCAAATGAAAAAAATGCGGCTTTATAACAATATTAAAAAACTCGGAAAATATTAAAATGACTCCATGTATTGAATTGTAATTTTTTTATTGTATTTATTCAGCTGAAGGTCGAGTTGCGGTCTATGAGGAAAGTATTTATATTTATGGAACACTCGCGGTGCGCTATATCTTCTATCAAGGCAGCAATACCTCATGAACACACGATGCAATTCTCTTAATATGAGTGCCTCAACTCTCAGTTTAGTGAGGTATATATATGAATGATGTTTTTCTGCGTGGACTTGAGAACTTCATTAAAAAATTCTCACAAAATAGATCTGGCGATGAAATTTCCATGTATATTTTGTTCACTCAAAAGTTCATATTAAGTTATTTGCATTGATGTTTAATAACAAATTTCCGTAGCAAAACTCAAAGTTAACAGATTACATGGTAGAATTTTTTGTGAATCTCATCTATCTTAATTTAAACAACCAGTTCAGGCTTAGGAGAGTTACGAGCTCTTGGTTAAAAGACTCGTCGGCTCTATATTGCGCGGTTCCATTATCTGCCATGTTTTTGAACTGAAGATATGTTCATAGAGCACCACCCGTTTGCCTTCACAGGCTGCAGGTTAAGTTTGTCTAGGTGAGACGTAAGTAAGAAAGAACCTGATATTGTCTGGGTGAGATTAAATTTGGATAAGAATGAGCTTGTCTAGGTTTAATGAGTTAATGAACAGCTTGCTGTTATCTACAGGCTAGAGAGGTTTATCTTTTTACGATTTTTTTACTGTGGAGTGATCCGGGTTAGCATGTGCGGCTGCATTGCACTTGCTCATTATTTTCACGGCGTGAGTGATAAATGGGCATGTAAATTGATGCTGGTACAAGCCTGGATGTTCAGTGTTGGGTGGCAGTGAAGGTTTCCAGCGATAAGTAAGGTACGGCTAACAAGGGATTGGGTTCGGCCATAGCGGCACGTTTCATCTCGTGCATCAGACGTACGTCCTTCTTCTGACATGCTTGGTTCTTAACGAGGTAACTCTTTGTGTAGATTTCGGCGAGTTTTGCGTCACCGGTCCTATAAAGGCATGGACTTTAGGACCTTCACTCAGCGTATTATACTTATTGCTTACACTCAGCGTGCTGTACTTATAGCTTACACTCAGCGTGCTGTACTTATTGCTCAGCGTACTCAGCGTACTATACTTATAGCTTACACTCAGCGTGCTGTACTTATTGCTCAGCGTACTCAGCGTACTATACTTATTGCTTACACTCAGCGTACTATACTTATTGCTTACACTCAGCGTACTGTACTAACTCCAGCCCGTCCGTTCGTCGCAGCTGTTTTCCCCCGGCATAACTCTACCTCCACGCATACCCCGTCTTCCCGCCTTTTTTCACTGACTGCCGGACGGCTTTTCTTAGTTTCTGCTCACTTGACTGCATTACGCTATGAAAAGAGGATCTATAGGAGTTGTAAACTAACCTATCATGAAGGGGATTCGTACTATTGGCTTTTAACATATAATCCCTTAGTCAACTTTGCCCTTTAGCAGGCTTACGCACGGAAAGGAGGATGAAAGATATGCTGGTCTTGGGTAATGCTGGCCTCTGGCATCCCTTCTTTAGTTCGTAAATTTGCTACGTATCAGACAACAAAAACGAGAAATATAGACAATTATGGTCTAATATTTAATAATAATATAACTTTATTATCCAATCTATAATTTACTTTGGTTATTATAATTTATCCAGGAAGTACGTAGTTTTCTGATGCCTTAAACATTACGTATTTTATCTCAGATGTCAAAAGTCTGTCAAATGTGTGATGTGTCTCAGGAATATGGATAAAAGAGTTGATTTCACAATCGTTAATTTATCTCAAAATATTCTCAACATCGACCCTTGAAGAATGAATTCTTCATTTCGGCGATCATATTATTTAATGAATTTTGAAAGTTGAAAATGAGATTAATTCATCAATTTACAACTTATTTCACATACCAATTATAACATTAGAAAAGAATGTAGTGCAAATCATTCTTTTCGTTATTTCCTTTGTTAACATTAGCGTTAAAGCAAAGTTTAAAATCTGGCGCTGTTTCACTATTGACATTCGTAGATTGATCTATAGAAAATCTGCTTACCAAACCTTCATCTAATGCACCATCTTTGAATCAGATGCTCGAAGTTTACTAGATTGTTACGATCGCGACTCAATGTAATTGATTGACCAAATTGTTTTCTGCTTCCAGATTTGGCACGCGGTTGTACATCAACAACGAACTCCTTCGCAGCAATTATCTTCATCAACTTATAACTGATTGTAACCTGGCGTCCCTAAAACGCGCTCTACTGCAATGGCTGGTCGAGACGAATTGCCTACGAAGACATCTTACTGTGAGCTGCAGAGTGACCGAAAATATAAAAATTACCAGCGAACAGAACGAGAAGAACCGTCCTTGGTAGTCAACAAAAGTCAATTCCACGGCGAAATTCGGACGTACAAACGCCGACACGTTTTACGAACGCCGCAAATTGTGATCACATGTCCTGCAGATAATCTTAAAGAGAACTTCATATGCAAGGCGTGTAGCTCTGGTCCTCTGTGTTGTGTTGATCAACCTGACAGTCAGATGAAAGACTTTGCAGCTGTCAGTCAGCAGGAGGCACTTGACTACAATAATTCTAACGACGAGAGCGACTATGAAGGAACTCGAACATGTAGCGAGTGTGGGTCCACAATTTCCAGCAATTCTGATTGTTCATCGGCCTCCAGTGACGATGGACAAGATTCAATAAACTCTATCGCACCTCCTTTAAGGAAATACACGTCTCGTGAAAATGTGAGTATAGGATGTTTAGTCCCGAAAAACGACGTGTTATCGGAAATATCCAAACGAGACCAAGGTTCATCAAATGAGACTTCGTCATCGGAATCTTCATCATCAGAGGATGAGGACGAGGAAGTCATCTTGGTGCACATTGACAGAGAACTTAAAAACGTTGTCGACAATCACATCAGATCCAGACAAAATTCGTTGAACTCTTCGGATGATGCAGAAAGTTTTGAGGAATGCAGGTCTTCGTCACCAACAAAAGACATTCCAAGTTCCAAGGAAAGTGAAATACTCCAAAAGTTCCTCCAGCAAGTAGAAACCCACCCCCAAGAAGAAGACTTGGACGTGATTTTGGAAATAGTCGGCGAAGAAGAGGAAGAGCCTTGCAATCGATCAATAATCAACATACGAGAGTGCACAGAAAAGTTTAAAGACATTTATGCCCGAAAATTAAGAGAAATTTATCACAAAAAATATCAAGGTGCTGGTCCTACATGGAATGTAAGCAAGCGTGATGCAATCAGCAACGATCGCACTGATGCTCCTAAGAGCAATAATGATCCAAATGCGAGCAAACCTGAGAACGATTCTAAAAGGCTGCACGATAACCCCAAAAAAATCAAAACAGAACTTGTGCAACAAATCGGCAGTACAAAAATGAACTACGACTTACAAAACAACAATCTTGAAAATCTCAAGGAGGTCCCGCATAAAAGTTGTTCCGAAGTATACCAATATTCTGGTTTTGCCACGAATCACGAGCGTTTCGGAGAAGATTCAAATTCTTCATTGTCGGACGATGATCGAGCTTTCAATTTCGGCGTCCAAAAGACGAATAGAAGAGACGAAACTATGATAGATAAGCTCCCTGAAATTAGACGATTTCATCCGCAGAATAATGATGACAAAATCTCGTTTGAGGACAAGACATACCTGAAAGCCACATCTCTTATCAACGAAATTGAATCCTGTTTCAGGGAGACGGCATTCTTGGTAGAAAAGAGCATTGGCTCCTACAGAGCTCCAGTGAAAGTGTATAGAAACGAAATTGAAACTAAAGAACGTGTTCAGCCTCCTAGTCCGGATCCAATTTTCATTGATAAGGATGTTGGTTCCCGAGATTCTAGTGGCTACACCAACTCCTCTTTTGAGAGAGCCAATAATGATCGAATTACCAATGAATATCTGTCGTTTTGGAACACTACAGACCATAACTCGCAGTCGCTCATGCAACGTGAATTTGCAACCCAAAGGACTCCTTTCGCCGAACCAAGTGATAAAGAGTTATCACTTTCCAACAAAGTGCTCAGACGCAGTCAAAAAGATGCACAAAATATTGACACAGAAAGAGTTCCTAGGACACTAGAAGAAAGTATTGAAATCTTCGAAATGATTTTAGGGGATCGAAAAAATGAGAGTCGAAAGTCTTACGACTCAGGATTGAGTTCGTCGACTTTGGTACTAAACTCATCACGCTTCTTCAAAGAAAATTCAATTGAGCCATCAAAAAATTTCCTCAAATGTAATTCAACTTTTGATTTACCAAGCAGTATGACTGACAACAAGAGTTTAGATCAATCATGGTCTCTCAACAGGTCAAGAAACAAATTCAAGTCATCATTGACGCTTGAGGGGAGATCTCGCACTTTGAGTGGCTCTCGTTCCGACAACTCTCCTAATTCTACGTACACGTCTGCTCACTTCCAGAATTTAAACTCGGCTGAAACTGAGATGGATGAATCTAACACTTACAAAAAATTTGATAACTTCGATTGCTATGATGAGTTGGAAGACGACAAAACGACTTCTCTACAGAGAGATGGCTCCAAGTGGATAAAGCACACAATTGAGTCACACTGTGAGGATATGCCAAGAGAGACTCGTAAAATTAAAAAACCGCTGAGTACTAAAATGATAAATCATAACGTCAGCCATGGAAATGATGTTGATGCTTTAAAATCTACCGCTTTGATTACTCAAAATGATCAATTCAGCGAAAAAATGCTGCATCAAGAAATAGCCGAATCTAGTAAGCTCAGTAATAATCCTTTGTACAGGTGGAAAAGTGAGCCTGATTTCGGTCGATTGCCCTATCCGTCATTTGGATTCCAGAGTAGCATCGCAGAAGAGTATTATGACCAAGATTATCTCGCGACCTCCATGACAACGTTCATGAAAAAAATGAAAAGAGAAACAGTTGAGGATACCATACAAACAAACCATTCTCCAAAAGAAGAAACCGTACAGGTGCAAATAAAAAACGAAGAAGCCAATATAGAAAACGAAACCAAAATGAGTTCTGGGGAAACGATGGGAATTTTGAGCGACCAACCTCTTTTTGCACAAGTCGACGAACTTTTGAGAGGCCTTTGTGAATCCCGCCTGGACGGTGGTTCAGAATCAGATGAAGGCGTCGTTAGTGACCAAAGTGACTTCAGTGACAGCAATTTAACGTCCAGGGCGGAGTGTTACTCTGCATCAGAGATAATGACTTCAATAAATGGATCTAACGGTGATAGAGAACTCGAAAAAAATATTGAACAAATTGTACATGGCATTAACTCGATAAAGGAGAAGCACCTTGGGAAAAAGATAGAAGAAGAACTAGAGAACTTCATTCGACCAAAGATAGAGCTCCTAAGAAATAACATAAATTGTAATTTACGAAGCTCAGCGAACAGTACACTGAGTCAACCAAAATATAGCGCAATTTCCCCTCAAGAAAAGAAACGATACTTTGAAGAAGAAGAGGATTTATCGGAGAAGATTAAGCAGTTGGCAGAGCTTCCAGAGATTCGGGAAATAATCACAAACATGAACCAGCAATCAACAAAATCCCTTTGGAAATTGCAAGTTAGTAATGAACTCACCGCCATGGAGCAGATTTCCCAAGCCTCCGATGAGCTCAAGAGCCTGGGGCTTGTTCCCAGCGCCAAGTGTCTCAACGAAACGTTTAAAAGCATCACTTCAGGTCAGAGGTGTTCCCGAAAGGAGGAATATCAAAGGAAAATGATCACACGAAGATTTAACAAAAGTTCTGACTACGTAAACACAACGAAAACGTCCAGGTCTTCTTCATGTTTTTCATACTTTGAAGAAACAGATTCTGGAGGCGGATCTGATCTAAGCGACTGCATCACTAGTTGTGAAAATCCAACGCGCAGAAGACGGAATCATGATTCTACTTTTCATTCTGACTCAACAGAGTCAAACAGAAATTCCTTCATAATGAAAATGCTCCACCAGAATCTTCGCTGCTACGTCATAACTCTTGCGTTTCTTGAGAAGCTCTTAAACGGACAAGCAAACCAGCAAGATGCAGCGAACAGGGATAAATTTTTCGAAAAATTTGATGCTGCAAAGTCGGAAATTTCCAGCACCGGTTTTGAAGCGCTGGAAAAGGCAATGGCGATGCTTCCAGAAATAACCGAGTCTGCAACTTTTAATCCTGAAGCACACAAATTATCGCCTTTTGCAATCGGCCATGAAGCCTTCTTGAAGGGACTTCAGCGCAAGCATTTGCTGGAGGTAAAGTTGAAATGTGTTCAAAGAAACTTAAGCTCATAAATGAATAGAACCTAATGGGTCCTTCAAAAAGTAAACAAAAATATTGTTTTAGATAAATTTGTTATAGACGTTTGAACCAAACGAGCGGAAGATATCAGATTAACATATTTATTTGTGCTTTGCGTGTCACACTGCCAAATGATGTCCTTATTTATTTATTTATTTTTTTTTTTTCAATTGCCAGATGAACTTCCAATTATTCTTCCTCGAATCGCCCTCTGTTTCTGTTGAGTTATTCTTTTAACTTTGCGAAAAAAATTATAAAATGTTCTATTGACAACTGGTATGAATTAGAATTACTACAACATATACTTCTTTTGCTTGTTTCACAACACTATACTTCAACTCGGCGCGTAAAACATTTGCGTTTAATATTCGCTTGTCGAAAATCCCTCAAATGATCACGTGCAAAATAGTCCTATAGTTTAAAAATATTTTTGCTGTATAACACGTTCTTTAAAAACGCAAACAATCCAAGATGTCTTGTAATTACTTGCATTAATTACATTACGTTAAAAGGGCGTTTCTTTTTGTTCCAGACTGAGCGGAACTCCTGATGTCCTGAGAAGCGCGGCGTCTGGCACAGGAAAAGTCCTCAACAATTAATCGTAATATAAGGTCCTTCTCTTCCTGCATTTATCAAGCAAATTGATGGCCTGGTAAAGTAATTGATAATGGAATTTGAGTGATAATCGTCTCAGGAGAGTTTTTTTAGCTTTGAAATTAGAAAATCAAGTTACCGTACATGAATGCTTACACTCTTAATTAAAGCCTTGAGCTTAACATTCTGAAATCCAAATTTAATCTAACGAGCAATATTTTTAAACGAGAGAAAATTTAATTAAAACACTTCACGCCAATGCATGCGAAATAACGAAACGCCTTTATTAGCATAATATTTTGAAACAAGTGTATAACAACAAACTGATTAGAACATGGATTGGACTTTGTTAGATCAGACAGAGAATTAAGATAATGTAAAAACTCTTATTTACTTTACAAAATCAGTATTCCGGGTTTTCGAGTCTGAGTATTGCTAGTTGACAACGGACGGGAACGGGAACGTTGCTTGCAGTTGCAGACGTTCTTCTGGCTCAGTGCGGCGTTGGCTTCAGTGGAGTAGGGGTGATAGTCAAGTTGCTCAGAAGGTTCATTGTGTAAATACAGGCAGTTCATTAACAGAAATTTTTGCCATTTTTTGGTATTAACTCAGATTATCTATTATACTTCTGTGTTGGAATATGTAATAGCCAACTTAGCTTGATTTTTAATCAATTAGATTTTATAACTTTCAGTATTTGACATAGCATTATCAGAATTCATAAAGCGTAATTATGCATACCTCAATTGTTGTTTTATTACTGTTGAGTTTACACTTATATCCCTTCATTTCTTGACGAAGTGTTTATAACAATAAAGTTTTGATTACAAACTGTTTTCATTTTTCATGAATTATGTAGTTTGCTATCAACAATAATTTGAATTTCAATCATTCATTTCAGGCTGACGAATTTCCAATTTTAGAGACCTATCGTTAGAGATGAGAGTAGATTAAAACTTGGTTCTTAGTTTTCTTAAATGGTTTACCTTGAAGTGCATTGTTGAAAGCCTGACACTTTCGATATTGAGTCATTGTTTTCAGAAATAGGTTTATGCTTCAGTGAATCTATAAAAAAATTATTACTTTCTTTCATTACAAACCTTTTCTCGTGTTTATCTGTGGATTAGCTTCTGGATCCTTTGCATTTGGCTGCATGGACTCCGCATGAAGTTACCTATTCATGGAACTTCGTAATAAAAAAATAGCTCCAGTCTCGCTACTCAATTGATTAACTGTTCAAAAATAAAAAAATTAGAACAAGTGTGTAATTTTTCAATGAATTTGTAATGCTTTACAAAATCAGACGATGAATAATAGTTTTTGAAATGTTGTCCACTCGACCCGGCCGCTACCGACACGTGGGTGTAAATGTTAATTTAGACTACGAATCTGAGGGCCATGGAAGCGGAGGCCGGTACGTAGGCCCTTCTTGTACAACCATTAAACGGTCGAGTTCCCTTAACTTCGTTGATCGAGAAAGGTTTTCCCAGACTACCAATCGTCTTCGTGAAGTGGCATTAGTTGATTTGCCAATTGAACTTAACTCACAATCATCGAACTCTGGAATATGGAATTCTTCCAATAGAGTATTTGAATCACGGAGAGAATTTATTTCAAACGCGAATTGTCGCAATTCGTTCAAGCCGAGTGATGGAAACGTTTGCGGTAATGTTGCATCGTCAAGAGGGACCAATTTGAACATGAAAATAAATTCTGATTCGTGTCTTTCTCCTGATATTTCTAAAAAGAGTTTAGCTTCGAGTTTGATTCCAAACGAAGAAAATGTTAGTATAATACTCCTCAATGAACGGAAGTTCACAGATATTAAGTGCGTTCCCGATGCAGGGTGTACGAATTTGTTAGCACCAAATGAAAATGGTCGGCTAGAAAGCTTGGATGTCAGCTTGTGTGGGGATGCAACATCATTTGACGGTGAATCATACACTATCGATCATAATGATTTTTTCGATGTTGATGACGATGTAACGGAAACAGACGATTGTTCGGACGTCTTTTCACAAGTCTACGTATTTTGTGCCGATAGGAGCAGTGACAATGCTCAGCTCCGATCACCTTCAAACTTGCCAAATGCTACTGAAAGTTCGTCCTCTGAAAATGGTTTGCTTTGCATCAGAGTTGGCTCGCCATGTTTCTCTTCTAGCTCAACTGACATCACGGCATCGTCGTGCTCGCGGCCTAGTGATCACACTTTGGATTACTACCTCAACTCCGAAGACGTGTCTCATCAACTCGACTCCGAAGACGAGCAGGTATGTTCGCATAAACTTGTTCATTATAGTTGTAAGTTCCCCATGTTGTTTCGCTTGTAATAGCTGTAAATTGCCCCCTTACAGTAAATTGCGCTTTGGTTTTTGGTTTCTTTGCCATAATTTAATCATCTTCTTGAAGTTCCTTGGGTCGAAAAGATTTACGTTAGGCAAACGGTTGCATGAGGACTTTTATCTGAAATCATGAATGCAATGAGACGAATTCATATGAAATTTATTGCATTACCTTTGCTGATGACGCGCTTAGCACAAAACACTAATAAAGTGACGATAGTTCCTGGTAGGGTCAAAGGTTACGTCGGCAATCATCCGCGACTTCATTCGTTCACCGTTAAGAGAGTATCCGGCTATATATCGTCTTTGAAATGATTGAAAAAGCTTCAACTAGGACTAGTTTTGGGCAAGCATTGCCGAAAGAAGAATACGTTGTATCATCAATGAAGAATTTTGGAACGACCAAATTTTTTATCCGTTAGAAAAACATTTCTGCAGGAATCGAAATCAATTGATGAAACTCTCTGTTAGATAAACTCGCACACTAGGATTCCGACGAATTTCTTTAGGCTGGAAACAAATTTGTGAGGCACAATTTGTGTGCATCGTTAAGGCTCTTTCTACGGTAAATTTTGAATGTTAAAAATATTCATTAATCACCTTTTTTTCAGCGAGTAAGATGATTAGGAAAAAACAACTTTCTACGGTATCCTAATATTTCTTGTATTACTTACTATCTTGTGTCAGCTACGATGATGTAAATCTATTATCACTGTAATTATTGCATTTACACAGTTCCTTGTCTGCAGTTCCCCAATAGATCGCAGATTGAGGACCTAATGTGTTTAATTAACACTTCATTGATATTTATTTATTTAATTTATTTAGATGAAGGAAGCTTATTTACGTCCTATATGAAGTTCAATTCAATCTATAGATTTCATCTAACATTTTATATGGCCTAAACTTTCCTAAGATTTATATTGGGCTGTAAAACGCAAAATTTCGTTGCGAAGGCTCCGGTCTGTGTTCTCGCGAAATGAGCTAAGCTCTAATTCTCGTTATTGCATCTCCGGGCGAAATTTGCTGTTACCACAAATCGTGCGACGTGATGCCGCTGCTGGAGGAATGCGGAGCCAAGACGTTGATGTCACTTCTTGATGACGCCAGATGCGAATTGCTCCTATAAGCTAGAATTGCTTCATCCGTATAATTTGGAACATATACTCGGTGACCTTCGATAGGGTTTATGAAATTAAATCATAATTTGCAATAATAGTTGTGTATCTATAAATCTTCATGGCTTCATGATAGTCTTTTGAATCTTAATTCGAACATTTAAAGTTCATAGCAGAAAATCACTTGCAATTTATTGGTTACAATTCTGCAAAGTCCATCGAACGCAACAATAATTTTTTATTTTCACCGAACTTAAAATTATGGACAGAAGTTTTTTTTACTTAGTTTCTGCTGGTCAAAATCATGCCTAGTGCCAGGCAGTTGCCGACGAACAGGTTTATGACCGCACAGGTCTCGGGGGAGCAGCAACATCCTTGATGATATTTGGCGAGAGTTTTTCCTGCGAGCCCAGAGGCGGATGCTGCCCGGCCTGTGCGTGGCTGGCGAGGAAGAAAGTTCCGAGCCCACCTCAGTTGAATGGCTGGAGGCTCTGACGTAATTGCCTTTTATTTCTAGCTCTATAGGCATATATGGTTACAATGGGTATATTTGGGCGCAAAAGTTATTATGATTTTGTTTTACTATAAGTGGGCTTGAATTTCAAATCCTCTGATTGAAATCTAAATTAATTGTGGTTCAAATGAAAGTAGATGTGATTGCTTTTTGCTCATTTACCTTTTCCTTCACAATATAATTAAGTGATCTTTATAAAATGTTGATAGCTAAAAGGGAATGATTTAGACTGTACCTTTCTGAGTCTGTGGTTTCCACGTCAGTCAAGTATTACAAATATTGACAGTTATGGAGGAGGAGAAATGGCCACGATTTACGCGTTCCTTTTCCCAAGATTTACATTTATCGCGATGGAGCCATTTTTGTGTCCACACTCTTCGCTCTATGGACAACATGAATAATTTATTTCACGTGGATTACAGTGGTTGAAAAATGAAAGCTACTCAACCTTCTTCAAGACAAGCAGAGGCATAAAACGTAGGTGCCGTCATAACCGGACGCTTCTCCGTCATCAGCTAAGGAAGAAGCGGATGGATACGAAGCACTCATGGTTAAATACTGCCGCTCGATCTGAGGTTACGGTGCGCAGGTAGTCTTTAAAACTGTCGGTCGCTGCCGTTACGTAGGCTTGACGATGGAGAGGAGCAGCAATGAAACCATGCGCCGGCAAACATGTGACTTACGAAGTCTGCTGTCTTTGCTACTGCTGTCTTTGCTCGTGACCCTCTGCTGTCTTTGCTCGTGACCCTCTGCATTATGGGGACTTGAAGGCCGATTTGTGGGCGGCCACTCGAGTACAGAAAGTTGGCCACCTACAATACATCAATGTTTCCAACTCGAGCTGAAGGTTCAAGCTACCGGACTCCGTAAAAAAATCTCCGTTTACTCGATGACTAGAAAAAACGTACGGACCTTTTGAGGGAAAGTGAAATCGGCGACTTAGGCATAAACACAGAATGCATGAGATGGCTAGGACCGGGATGGGGTAGATTTGCCTTACTGTTCGCAGACTAGACCTTATTGAAAAGTTTGAAGCTGAGATTTGATGACAAATTATGGCAAAGATGCATTCATCGTACAAGTTTCAATAACAAAATCGCACTTATTTTTACGAGTATATACATCATTTTTCGTAGGTCCGCATTGCAAGCTTAATTTCTTCATGTCTCTTCCCGCGGAATTAACACGCTTTTAAAATTTGCGTGCGCGAACAATCGATAATAATATAATGATTTATGATAATATTTTAATACTATTATTATTGATTGCCGCGTATGAGCATCGCTTTGTATTTCTTCAAGTGTTTGCGGTGACCGGAAAGTTGAGTTAACTGCCGTATTTTCCCTTAAAGCACTCATCGCTCTATCGTGACTTACAACTATTCGCTGCGGTTAATTTCTTTCATGATGTCATTTCACGGTCATGTTGGTTAGCCGCATTTTAAATGGTCATGGACATTTTTCAGTTATTGAAGTATTATTTGTCGACTTAAATTGCATTGTAAGATTATGTAGTCACTGAATTAACCATGTTTTGTTGGATTGATTCATTGATTTCCTTGGATTTTCTTTTTAGAAATCGTAAATGTTGTTGACACGCAGTTGAATATATTTGAATTCACCTAAACATTTTACCTAAATATGAATAATACGTGAGGATTCGAGTTTCTCAATGTTCGCCGGTGCTATAGAATTAAGGCTTCAACTCTCTGTTAACCGGTATTAGATATGCCAGCGTTCGCAAGTTGTTTTGCACCATCAGTTATTGAGTTGGTGAGTATGTTGAGTTATCGGGTCGTGAATCCTCTAGATAAAAAATTTTGAATAGATAATGTACCT